TCCAGCCAGTTATGGTCGATTCTATACCCTTTCTAGCCAGAGACAATCCTATAGATTTAGGTAATGCATTGTTAAATGCTCCTTCAATATCAAGAGATACAGCAACCGCAACATATATAAACAGTAGTATTAACAGTAGTACTTTATATATGTTTGGAATCTGTTATAGAAAACCTCAGAGTCCGTATTTGGAAAAAATGATCCAAGTTCGGCACACCAATTCGAAATCCCTCCTAGATCCTTATTAAGATATGCAATCTCCTGCTGCCGGTGAAGATATGTATCCGCATCTGATGTCCTGGAATCCAAATGAATTGACGAGACAAGTGTGCTGTTGTCAGCAAAGCAATATATTGGATTCTTGTTTTTTTCCAATAAGTCGTTGATATACAATAATAAGAGGGTTGGAGACATTATGGAACCCTGTGGAATACCAGCGTTGATGGTAAAAGTATTCGAGAAATATCCATCGATGGCCACTTGCAGGAAACGTTTTTTCCGAAAGCTGAAGAGCCGTACACAAAAATAATCCCACAAACCATAGCATCGAAGTTTGTCCAGCAAACCCTCAAGACACACACGGTTGTAGGCCTTAGAAATATCAAGCGCAACAGCTCATGATTCTCCATGTTTCTCGATTGCGTCACGATATGTCACCCATATTTGGAATAATAATAATAATAATAAGGTCATCTGTTGATCTTTGTTTTCGAAAGCTCAAGATGTTGAAGCCTTCCAAATATTGGATGATATGGTGGTTTACGACTTTATCCATGATTTTTGATATCACTGATAGCATAGGACTGCTTTTTTGGGAATAGACTTCCAACAAGAAGGAAAAACCCGTTTCTTGTAAAATACTGGTGCGAGTTCATTTCCGTACTTTTTAAGTACGGTGACAGGCACTTCATCAGGGCCAGAGGACTTGATGATATTGAGCTGCTTCGAAATTCGCCTGACTAGAATGTATATAGCCCGCGAAATTTGAACATTCACTTTATTTTTTGAACATTCCACGTATATCGAAACACAGTCTTTTGAACTATCTAGTGAAAATCTCACAATAAAGTGTTTTTTGAATGCATATTTCATCAATTATCATATAGTTTTTTACGTGTTCTAGGTAACTTCTATGAAAGGAATTGTGTTTCGCACATCATTGAAGTCGTCTCAAATGAATCCATTATGAATTTCACGTTTATTTTTACTGTGGTGAAAATAAAAAGAATTCTTTGTAATTTTTCCGTAACAAGAAAAACAAAAATTTGTGTAGGAATAATGTAAATTTGAAAAAACTTCTCCAACCTCGAACACATTAATCGATTCCCTTTCTCTGACACGGTAGATACACTATCAATAACCTCACAGCCCCTGCCCTCTTCTACAACTTCCTAATTCCTTCATTATTTGTAATTTTTCTCCTTCTCAATCAGAAGATTTCTATCAATCACTCTTAGTGTCAGAGTTTTCTCTTCCACGGTTCGATTTGGCCAGCCAACTACCAGGATTACCTCGGATCTACTGGCCGTCGTTGAAATATAAACCTATCAATCAGGACTTCAATCGATTCATTATGTCACAATGAGAGTCGCAGCAAGCACCGACTTACAGTTAATATTTTGTTTGTCCAGGTGGACTGGATTTGGTGGTCGAGTGTGTGAACTTTTTTATTTTCGTTATGAGATGCCCCGTTAATTGAACCGGTGCGGTACATTTGCTTATTTGTATTCGATGCCAAGATCTGTTAAATGTGCATAATCATAATATTTATCCTGCTCGGCGTAGGAAAGTGATATTGAACATATTTCGTATTCGGATGAGCTGGGAGCGGACTAAAAATATACGACAAGTGACCACCGTGATCAATTCAGAAACTAAAATAAAAATGTATTTTGTCGTGACAGATCTGGTACTTTCATCACTCACTATTTCTCAGTGAAATCAATGGTAAAATCCAGGAAAACGAGTTGAATTAGTCAGAATTCAGTTTTATAGTATTACATGAATCTAAAATTAACAGATGTTTTCATTAAACTAGTGCTCAACGGCCAATTTTTTTTTGTAGAATTATTCCTTTTTCTTCTAATTGTCTAGTATCAAAGCTAGTTTGAGCTTTCTTATCCTTCAGTTGTCATTCTTATTTTTCACAATCTCTATACAATTCTGACTAGAAAATTCAAACAGCTTTCTAATTAGATAAAACATCAGTGTATTGCCAAATATGCGCCAAACAAACCGATAATTATAAGAAAACAAATATATCTGAGGCACCAGTCAATCTAATAATAACACTGATGATCTCACAACACAACAAAGTTTTTGTTTCGGGGTTGAAATTAGATGATTTTAATGTATTTCCACGTGTTAAAACCGAAAGTGACCATAAAAATTATATATTAGCTCTTGTTTTCAAGATATAGTATCATTATATTATATATATGTATATTGAGTTTTCAACAAATGAAATATTTCATCACCAACAGTTGGTACACATGTTTGTTTACATAACACCCCTCTCATCAGCTGTTCTTAAGTAGTAAACATAACCTATGTGAGTTTGTCAATTGTACGCACGTGGTTGCTATTGAAATTATCGTGTGAAGTTGATTTTTAAATTAATTTAAGTGCTGATCTGAAATGCCTCGAAAGTGTGTGAATTCTGTCGATAGCTTTTGCTATATATGTGGTGAAATAACATTTAAGGCTCAGAAACGTAAAATGACACCTATCGTTANTTTTTTTTATTAATTTTGTACTTAAAATATTCTAAAAGAAACATAACAATATTGTTTTATGTACTTTCACTTTTCACGTATAGTATAACTACTCTTTAAGATTAAGTACTGTGTATCTCAAAAACCAGAGCTAATAAAAATTTTTCATTGTTATTTTCGTTTTTATCACCCCAAAATTAGTAGAAATTGACTAATTTAGTGTAGGAAACATTCAAAAAATATTTTTTTGTTGTGTTGTGATCTTCAAACATGACTCAACCTCTGACGGAAGCACCAAACTCTTACGAAGTTTCGAACTAGATGAACACTTCAATGTAGCAGACCACTATTATAACCTTCATGCAGTCATTATCCACTGTGGTTCTGGCGTTGAATCGGGTCATTATTACGCATTGGTCAAAGACGAAACGGATTGGTTTAAGTTTGACGATAGTCCTATCACTAAATGTTCTGGCGATGTATTGAAATTATTGGAGCCTCTGGAGATACCCTTCATTTTGTTTTCTGAGACAGAGGACATTTGCAGATCAAGATCTTCAATGATGTGGTGCTGCAGGTTTTTCTGGGTTTTCCTGCAGCTGAAAAAGCAAATGCGCCACTGGAATCAATCAAGTCGCCCCGGAGCGCCAATTAATTTTTGTTGTCGTTTCCTAATTTCATAATTAGTTTCGTATCTATCACACTTTTTTATCAGTGAAGATAATAATTGAAAAATCAGTAATTTTTGGCCGTTATCAATTGTTGAAGTTCGAAACACCCTACTAAAAGGAATTATTATTATATTGATTACTATAAAAATTATTTGGATCCTGAAGAAGGGAAAATCACTTTCAGTAACTAGTAGATGTTCATTTTCCACTTACCAATAAGAATGTACCTGTCGAAAATTACTTTTTTTAAATTTTGGGGAACATAAACCTAAACCATCAGCATTTGTGATCAACACGAAACCTAAACTGTTACCATGTCAGGTCACGAAGCTAATATATTCCATAACAAAAAAGCACTTGATCACATCAACTAAAATTCCCTCATGTATTAAATCAGGGGTCGAATCCTTCACCAAATTCTTTCATTCATCCCTGCAGCGTATCACGCCAACTTTATATCCATTCTTACCCACGACCATAAATCTTAAAATGTAATTAACGTATTCTCCCCTATCTCATATGACACTGCCCCCAAAAATCCTAGCCCTACTAAACCGTTATGCATGTAACAGATTAATAATTTATTTTGTTAGTTTCATAATGTTCAACAAATGTTAGACAATCTATATAAGTTGATGAAATACCTATACCTACGGAAGATCAAACTCCTATTGAAGATGATCACTTAGTGATCGAAACACGTGTCGTGAAATATTTTCACCAAATGAAAATACATTGAGATATGGGTGAATATAAATTGATTTCATTTGTCAGTTTTGGACAAAAAATAATTCACAGAATAAGTACACTTCTTTACGAGCATATCTTGCAATCTATTTTCAAAAACATTCAAGGTATAGGATTTATTAATATAATTCGGTAACTTATTGAAGAACTATGGCTCTACGATATTGGGAGAATCACATCCTGACTTATATATTTTATATGGTAGAGTTAATAGCCCAAATGGGCTATTCCTAAAAATTTAATTGTCTCATCTTGCTTAATACGCCTGCCCTGAATACAGATGTTGAGTTGAGAGCATTTTTTTGATAACCGTGCAGTTTGATGAATCTTGTTTCAGTGCTCTTCAGAAATAAAAAGTTTTCACTGAACCATCTGCTTGCATCATTCAGCATACTATTCCATTTGGATTCAAGAGCATTATCAAATTTTTCAGGTATCAAAATTGAAGTTTCGTCGACATAAATGGACATCGCGTCTGCAGAGATACACCCAATTTTATTTAGATATATAATAAAGAATACAGGCCCCAATATAGGCTTTTGCGGTACCCCATGATCGAGTTTTCAGCAACATTGATATTATTCATGTGAGGTCAAGGATTAGAAGCATGTATAAATGTTTAGCTAATGTACAAAAGTTTTTGTACATTAGCTAATGTCATAACATATATTTTCCGCAGTGCATTGATTTTTCTTTCGCCGAATTCTTTCAGACCGCCCCACATTTCACCGAAGCATATCTACATGCAAACACACAACCATAAATCAGAAAATCTAATTAAATGTCTTCTCCCCCACCTCGTATCACAACATCCCTATCTGACATAACAACATGCAATCATTTCAGTGACTCCTTCTATTCGTTACAGATTGATATGGAAATAATAAAAAAGACGGATTACGTGCTTCCCCCGGAGAAAAACATGAATGGCATCCACCGCTCTCACCAACAATACCAGAAGCAGCAGAATTGCGGAAGAATCCACGACAGAGAGTGGGAGAATCCAGTCAATGGTCGGTCGTCATCATCTGCGTCAGTGCCTGCCCTAACATCGTCGGCTGTGGACGGAAAGCGGAAAAGCAGGCCGGCAGCCGGAAAAGCGAAAACTCCGATGGATCCTCACGCTGCTTCGGGCAGCAGGGCTCACACACAGAGTCGTTCGAGAATCAAGCCACCCGCTTCTAAGTATGTCTCTCAGAGGAATGTCAATGCGTCCCAGGACAGGGTGAATGGTGTTTTGGGGTATCAGCAGAGTGCGAGCGCGTGTTTTTTTGACGCGGGGGGTAGTATGCGCGGGGGTGGTGTGTATGGTGTTTATGCTGAGACCAAGTATGTGTATGCTGTGAGTGGAATGACAGAAAACCATGCCCAATCTTCGGCAGCCGCAGCTTTTTTTGCAAGGTAGGAAGAGTTTTTTGGATATATTCAAAACCACAGCATACTCAAATGTGTTTCCAATTTTTATATTTTCTCCAACTATACAGTGAGATCATTTTCAAAAAAAAATATTCACCCCTTTACCACCCCTCTTTACTCTTGTAACTTTCATTAAACTTTAACATATTACATATTATTTTCTGAAGTTGCATTTACTAAGTACGGATAAAAAATTGATGAAATCTGTATAAAAATTATTTAGCTCCCTATACACCATTTCACCTTTGTCACAATTCTAAAAATTTTATTGGAGACGGTGTTGAATATTCAAATTATTTTCAGAAAATACATATTCTGACCAGAAAATAAATTGAGATATTCTATATAGAAAAATAAATTCATTCCTCAACACCCCGTTCTATTCTATTTAATTTACGAAAGTTTTTGCTAAATAATACGTTTGAAATATTCAAATTATTTCCAAAAAATGTAAGTTCTAACTAGAAAATGAAAATCAAGATATTCCATATAAAACAATAATCTTAAAATCCCTTCCTGAGAATTAACACTGAAATTATCTATGAAAAAATAAATCACCCCTTCGATACCTATTTTGTGTGTGCATTTATGAAAAAATGTGTAAATCCATGTGAGAATAGGTGACATATATGTAAAAAGTATTCCTAAGAATTTTATCTCAAATTATTCAAAAATAAGTATTTTATTTTTTCTTTTTAAAGTTTTCTTCAAATTGTGTATAGATTGAGAAGTGAGTGAGTGTTACTTGTATCAATCATTTTTTCAAACAAGATTCACTTAGAATTACTTACAAAACAAATTACTATATTTCCAAAATATTTTTGGTTACGATTTCTGAATCAATTATGGATTGGGCAATAGAAAATTTCAGTATCAAATTCTTATCTAAGGTATCTTGCATAAATGGCTGTCGGATATAATTCAATGTTCAGCGTGATATTAGCTAGGAAAGTAGTTGTTTGCAGGTATGCATTCAACAGAACCTACTGTGCAGTTTCGTTGGTAGAGATGAATGTTTCGAAATTTCATATACTTTCAAGTAATATTCAATTGAGGAAAATCAGATTTCTCTGACAATTCCAACCATTCGAGTTAGCGAAACGTTGAGATTTACCCAAAACTCAGTGAAAACGAATATCAAAAATCTCATAAAAGCGACAAAGTATATGGGATCCGATTTCAAAGACTATTAAGACATCTTTCAAGAGTTCAGAAATCCAAAAATGTGGAATAAGTTCCATGAACGATGACAGGTCCTATTCCTGTGCGAAAAAAGTTAATATTAGATAACAGTCAGATGGTAAATAACAATAACAAAATACTAGGAATTGATTCAATGACCTTCATTATACTAGATACTTATAAAAACAGCATAGCCTTAATCATCACCTGATGATGAATAACTTGGTAAGACAGCATTTTCATTCTGATAAGGAAAAAGTGTTTTCAATAGACTTATTTCACGCGAGAGATCCAAATTTTGCTTATCAAGTCAGAAAGAGCTCTTCTTTTAAGGTCTGGTTTCTAGTATATTACCCATCAGCATGTAATTTGTCTGCAAACTCAGCAACTGGTCGTTCAAAAGTTATGAACTTTTGGGCAAATACTCAAGTTAATTTTTTTTTGTCAAAGTTAACCCATAAGTACCTTCCTCAAATATTAGTAGGTACGTTATTGAAAACCACCTTGTACGGTAGCATAATTTTTGGAATATGTTCATCGCTTCCCCCTGTATTTCCATCATTAACGGTTATGTAGCGAATTTTATGACCTTCTTCGACAGCCTATCAATTTTATATATTTTCTGGAAATTGTGCTGAATATTTTACATTGGTAGCAGCCCTGATGGCATATGTGACATAAACAATAATGCACCGTCTTGATACCATCGTAAAAGATATAAAATATGAGGACGTTTGATGGCTTCAAGCTTGGAGCTAAATGGGCCGGTTCGAATTTATTGCAAAATGGTTCCTTATAATTTACTGCCGCTCACAGGCGAGGTATATAAAAATTGGAGTTATCTCTAAAAATTGAATTTCCACTACAATGGAAACTTGAATTCACATGCCAAATAGAGGTGTGCCAAGTAACATTTTAATTTGAAAATTCCTGAAAGTGCGTACGTTTTTTCATCAATATCCACATCAGAGAGAAACACCAAAATGTTTGTTGATTTTTCAAAACACATTAGTATGTAAGCTGTTTTAACTTCACTCATCGACTCAAAAATACAACCTAAACACTTCGTCCATATCACTCCACAGTTATTTAAATTCGACAGGTAGAAATGACCCCGGCGTAAAATGAATTTAATGATAACATTTCTTCCAATGTGCGTTTCGCATAGAAGTTAGCATCATCAGAAGATTCATTCATACAGTTTATTGTATAATTTTCACTATAAAGGGTTGTACAAAAACCGCGACACGTGTTTCGCTATAACACAGCTTTCTCACGCAGTTTTTATAAAACCCTTTATAGTGAAAATGATACAATAATATTAATGAGTTTCAATATGGATTTTTATCAAGTATCGGCCAGTTCTATTCAATCATCAGATGATATAGACTCTGTATTGCAACTGTCAGATAATTGAATTAGGTTAGGAATCACACGTTAAAAGGTAAGACCTCGTTAGTTCTTAGCTCGCACAAGTTTCTCAACTTCTGAGAGAGTTATCTACTATTTACTTATTATTTACCTGGTTTCTATTCATCATTATTACTTGAGAGAGTGAACGAGACCTTCATTGCTGAGCAACACTAACTCCTCCGGCCTACAAAAATCAATATATGAAATGTATTCTTTGAAACGCTTTATTATAGTCCGCTTAGTTTGACCAATGTATTTTTTATGCAATCCTCACAGATTTTATTTCGTCACCCTGTCATTCATGTTGCGAATATGAAGGTGAATTCAAAACTAAATTATTATAAATTATTATCATATTTACTCAAAACACAATCAGATCATTTGTCTCAAATTTCCTGCACACTAATAGAAAATTTTTAAACGGTTGAACTGAAATTCTTAGTACGCACAGTTTCTAAACTGAGAATAAAACATCTTGTTTTGTTTGAATTGAAGGAGTTTTTCAAAAAAATTTCATACATCAGGTATTGCTTCATTTCCTATGTAATTCGCCCCCATTTAACTCTGACGATATCGAATTAATTCCAATCGATCGCTGCACGTTCACTTTTCTAATTATACGAATTTGTAATAAATAAGTTATCGACAAATTTCTACGGTGTAAGTAATTATAGATTATGGCGTTCTAAAATAACAGTAAACTATTAATGCACCGTATTTTCTCGTTGCCACTATCGGTTTCCTAGATTTCCTTGCGAATAAATCGGAAGTTTAATCAAAGAGGTGGTCCTGAGAAAATATCACACTTGGATAAAGAAATTGAACTCTGTGAACTATACTATACAAATCAATATGATTAGTTTGACGTAGTTTAATGATCCTTTTCACATTGTATAGTCGAGTGGCATATTTCAACTGATGAAAGTGATTGTCAATGGATTGTTCTTCAAGAACAATGATTCCAAATTCATAGTATGAATATGAATGCATATATTTTTCTTTAAAAAATAAGGTGAATTTTGATTTTTCTCAGAACATAGTCATTTATTCCTCAGTTTATATTGTACCCCCTTCAATGTAGCCCCCCTCAGCCAGCTTTTTTCTAAGCAGATTTAATATGCACTTTTTAGTATGTCCTCAGTGCAAATTTTCACTGAATAAGAACAACAAACTGTGAACGTTGAACATTAATTATTAAAGGCATTAGCGAGTTTCTATTGGTTGAAGCAATACATAGAAATTTTTCTTTCGAATTTAACTTTCCTAACTGAGTGTATGGAAATATCAACTATAGAATACTTTCCATTGGGAAATTCTTACTTCCTTTATTTTTGACATTGTCTTTTAGAAAAATACTACAATTGAAGAGGAAGTTACTGAATCTACAATAAATACAATAAATATAAACAAGAAAATTATGATAGTCTATTTGTCTATTTCAGGGTAGATTCATACAGATACAGATAATTCATTCATCATTGAAGTTTTTTACACAATGGTACAAAACTTATCAGACTAGTCAAAACATATAGTATTACAACTTATAAAAACATTATAGAGCTCACAAGAAAATATGAAAAACTCACAGACAGTGCATCAAACAGTGAGGTACTCCTCTATTGTATAAAAAGTATTTTCATTAAGGTAATTAAATAATGTTGTTATGAAGGTATTAAAATTTTTTATCACACCAAAGATCCTATTGAAACGGTTATAACATAGAATTCCTTGGTATTTTGGAGAATTCTGCCCCACACTAAGCCTAGAGAATGGTAAGCGAATGTCATTTTTATTCCGTGTTTGGTGTTGGTGAATTTCACTACTTTTCATGTAGGTATCTTGCTCTTTTTTAATATTCATAATTAGAAGATAAATATAAAGTGATGGTAAAGTAAGAATTGACAGTGACTTGAAATAAGCTTTACAAGATACATTATTTCGAACTCCCATCATGCATCTTATGATTTTCTTCTGAGCAATGAATACTTTATCAATATGTGTTGAATTACCCCAGAAGATCGAGCCATATGTGAGTGCCGACGACACTAGATCATGATATGCCATTCTGAGAACCTCTATAGATACAGTGTCCTTCAGTTGTCTGATAATAAAATTGATACTACTCAATTTCCCTACCAGATTTTCGATATGAGTTCTCCATGTCAGTTTCTCATCAATTGTTACACCCAGAAATTTTATGTTTGATACTTGCTCAATTGACTTATGATTTATTTTAACAAGAGGGCTTGCGTCACTGCTGATATTTTTTTGTCGAAAAACCATGAAGAGTGTTTTAGAAGCATTTAAAATCAATCCATTATTCAGGCACCATTGAAAGAATTCCTCAGCGCATACATTGCTCAGATGAATGCTTTTGTCCAGATTATCTTGTGA